TGAAGTTGAACGCGACGACATTTTTAAAGTAGAGATGAATAATGTAGATGATAAAGAAAATAAATACAATCTAGATGTATGCGTTAATAAAAATACTTACAGCACTATATAGATTAACGGTATTATGTTTCAGCTCTATGAAATGCTTAAAATTGCGATGATGATTGAAATCTCTACTATTCCACCATATCTTTACGCTTTATACTCAATAAAACCTGGAACAGAAATTGGTGATGAAGTGAGAGATCAAATTCGGCATGTCGCTGCAGAGGAAATGTTACATCTGTCGCTTGTGGCGAATCTTATTACTGCTATTGGTATAAAACGAAAACAACTCTTTTTTTTAAAAAAAAGCAACATTAATCTTGTATGTGGAATGTTAATGAACAAAAAATAATTTGATTTATGATTTATTCATAGGTCGACAACCTAAATTTTATTCCCAAGAAATGATTCCTTTCTATCCGAACCCTCTTCCGCATATAAAGCAAGGTAAATAATATAATAATACTTGCTGAATAACATTTTACCGAAAATTTAAAGAAATACAATTAATAGTTAATTGATCATAATAACTATCTTCATTATTCATGAAACTGATAAAATATCCATGACCGAATCGATAAGTTATTTATGTTAGCTAAAACAGTGAACTTATTAATTCAGTCATCGGAAAATTCTCAGTATTCAAGAATAAAAATAGCTATAAATATTGTATTAATTAATATATATTTATATTAAATATGTATAAGCTGCTATTAAAATAATATATTCAGTGAAATTTTCTTGTCGTCAACATAATATAATTGCGATACTTATTGTATATTTATTATTTAATTTAGGCTCACTTGTTATCCATCTTTCAAAAGCAAATAAAACTACTCTCGAAACTTTTATAAATATTGAAAAACCTGATACTGATCAAATGACAAATGTGAGAATGGATGAAGATGAATTTAATGCTGATAGCATTGGTGATCTTTATGATGCTATTAAAACAATCTTTAAATCTCTTGATAAACAACATCGAATTAAGTACAATACGCTATTTCAGGTGAGTAGTTTTATTTTCGATTATTATTATTATTATTTTGCCTGAAATATGGTTTTTATCACATGAATAATTTGTATGGACGCAGCTTGGACCTGGAATGGGTTACGCACCTAGTTCTGGTGATAAAAATTTTGAAGGATTAATTCTCGTCAAGGATTGCGATGATGCTATAAAAGCTATTGATTTGATTATTCATCAGGTTAGTTGGATTACTTTTCTATGAAATAACTTTTTTAAGTAGTGATTGCTAATATTTGGATTTATACAGGGTGAAGGGGGTAAGTGCATTGCTGTAAAAGTAAATGCTACGATCAATGTAAAAATTAGTGGTGGAATCAAAGACATCAAAGACGGAAGCAAAGTAAAAATCCACGGAGCAATCGAAGTAACATCTGAAAAAAGACCTGAAGAAAAAAAAAACGGAACCATAAAAGGAACGATTGGAGTGAAATCATGTAAAGATGGTAAAATTATTGGGGAAATATATGGAAAAGTATTAGGAGAAATTAGAGGAATTATAAAGGGAACTGTCGTCGATGAAGGAATTGTAATAAACGATAACGATAAAGTATCTGTAATTAACGGTGGAGTAATTAAAAACGGAGAAATCGATGATTCACATTATGCAGTATTTAGTTATTGTTTAAGTGAAATTGAAAGTGCGTCTGAATCAGACTATCAACTTTGGCCTGTTGTTGACGATCCAAACACTGTGTAAGTGAAAAATTTTCAATTCCTGTGTTTTTAATTTCCTTATAAAATTATAATATATTTATGCTAAACATTTGTCATAATAGAAATTACACCGACCCACTTAGTCAAGAAGTTGGATCATATGCTAATCCAAATATCGTCACTACTCTAATCGCTTTTAACGCTGCCTATTCTTATCTTATGCTCTTATTACAAACCGTTTGGAGAACTGATGGACAAAAGAAAAAAACGTTGATAATGGGAGGAATGCCAGCACTTATGCATGGTGTTTTAAAACCTATTGCAACATTTCTTGCTAGTACGTATCCCTGAAGATTCTCATGCATGCTTTTTTTTTTTTTATTTATGCATCTTAACACGATATGTTTTTCAAAAATTTGTCTTCATTTAAAAGAAACACCTGTTTCTACTGATATGAATGCAGGTGCCAGCTTTGGCTATTATGAATTTGACAAAGCATCTAGCCCAAAAGACCAACTAAAAAAGGCTATTGATGCAGCATCTGAAGCTTTTTCATATAGTGATGAATTAAAAAATGCAGTGACAGCAGTTGATGCATTGCCTGATTTATCCCAGGAGAGTTTTTTATTACTGTGATCGAATTTTAACTTTTCAAAATCATGATAAGTCATGTAATTTGATTTGGCAATGCTCAAATTTGCCTACATTATGATGTTTATTTCTTTGTATTTATATTCTTATTGTTTTATATTTATTATGCACCAAATACAATTGTTATTTAAAATGACCAAATGTCGATTTGTCAAATTTAAACAGTGTTGTTTTTGATTTTTTTTTAGTAATCTGTATACAATACAAAATTGAGATAAATACTATGAGGCAAAATGAAACCTTAGCTTCTAGCATTTAGCAAAAATTTTCAATTCTAAATCGGCACGTTATTTTTAATCTCTATCAATTGGAAATTATCGGTTAGGCAATTTTAAATGCAACATTTTAATAATGATTGAATGTACTAAGGAATCCAAACCTTTCATATAAATAAAGGCTTAAATATTGGATTACTCATGCCATTAAAATCCTTTGTATGATTTATAAAATAATTTGCAATACGTACTAAGAAATCCGAAAAACTTTGCTATTTATTTTTTAATAAGTATAATATAATATGAATTTAACTGATTTTAACCTTAATTACCCAATATGTATAAGCAACTTAATATAAGTAAATTATATTGACATTTTATATAATTTCAGTGTATAATATAAACAATATTTTTTTAATTTCGTCAACTAATTATTCATTAATAGACAATTATGTATATGTGTTTTTCGTCAGAATGAAATATTATTAGATTTAAAATCAACAGAATTTGATTATAAATTACTTAAAAACTAAATTTTAAATTCACTCAAAAATTGTTAAAGATTCGAACCAATATAAAAGTAATTCTGAATCCACTTAGTGCATATTCAAATTTAAAATTAAATGTATAGTCAAATCTCTTTATAATCACAACTTGAGATACATAAAAGTTGATTGTAAGGAAATGTGACAATTCTAGAGGTCAAATTTATTATATTAAATAATAGTTTGTTTTTTTTTAAAAAAAATAAGCTTATAAAGTAAATGTGCTTATATAGGAGGTTACTATAGTGAGGTTTGACTGTATTTGAATTAGCAATACATCATATATATAATTTATATCATATTCAAATAATATATGGGGGGAGTCAATAGTAACCAGGCAAATTGTTTCTAAGTAAATTTTTTTTAGACTTCAAATAAAATATCTTAATAACTATTAAACCAAACTTGACAAAATTTTTTTATTTTTTTTCTATTTAGTTATATTAAAATAAAAAAAATTTATCAAGGTTGGTTTAATAGTTGTTAAGATATTTTAATTTAAAGTTTTAAAAAAACTTACTAAAAAAATTTGCTCGGTTTCTACTGACTCCTCCCATATTTTAGCTACACTAATTAATACAAGCGTGATTATAAGGAATTTTACCTTTTTATGTTTGTAGAGTTTTTTTTCACGTTTATATTTATAACTACATGTTATTACTTATTCTATTTATGAATAAGTATTTTTGTTTACTTTTAAATAAAATCATTTTTGTCGATTTGATAATGATTAAACGTTAATTTTAATTCACATACTGTATTGAATGATCTGACCAACCGAGACAATTTAGAATTCCACTGCAAGAATAAATTAATTTGGAATCCACAGAAATTTTATTCCAACGTTCAGCTGGATAGAATTGTGAAAAAAGCCATCAATTATTATATTTACAGTAATATCAATAGTGATAAGCTTTAAAATAACATTATTAACAAATAGAATTATCTTCTATACTAATGCTTGCAATAAATTTAAGGATAATAACTAGTGCAAACTTTTAAAAATATTAATTAATGTACAA